TCAAACATGTCCTGAAAATCTTCTTGTGGCGCCATGGGGAAGTAATGGTTTGATGGCGGCCTTTGCCAGGTCACTCTTGACTAGGGCCCCTCTCTTTCCAGACCCCTCCCCTTTTGGGGGAAGCTTGAAAGTTTCAGCCAAGTGCAAGCTCCAAAGCTGGTCACGGGTCAGGAAAATTCCTGAGTGAATTGCAGCAGGAACAATCTCCTCTTCGATTTGCGAGCACTTGATGACACAGCCACGCCCTGCCAGTTGCTTCGGCGCCAGGGCTGGCAGCATCAACTCAAACGGCACCTTCTTCCACAAAGAGTCCCGGGCAACCAAATGGTTGAACATCCACATTGGAAGCGCGCCAGAGTCTCTGAACACGGCGTACACCTTGGTTACAGGGCACAATCACATTGCCTTATCTTTCTCCCGTCAACCAAACCCTCCCCCCGATTTTTGACCAACACAAAATAAACTGAGCTTTGTTACCCAAGAATCCTCCCCATTCACGGAGATCTCCTCCAGAACCGTACCAAGCGCCCCCCACTCACGAAACCCAAAGCTCATGGCAAGCCTCCCAGCGCGATCTCGAAAAAGAGACCCCTTTTGAAGGAAGACTCCTGCGCAGTGTACCCCTGAGCCAATTGAAAGCCACGATATCTTTGAGCGGTCCTAAATTAAAGCAAACAAGCCGCAAAGGAAAAACAAAACAACAACAACTACGCACGCAGGCACAAGACACCAGTACAAAAGGACCACCCGCAAACAATTGACAACAAAAACAAACAAACAAACAAACAAGCACGCAAGCGACCAAACAGACAGACCCCAAAAAACAAACAAGCAAGCAAGCAAACAAACACACAAAGACACAGACGTGGACACAAGCACACACAGACAAGCACAGATAGACAGAAAAAGATACACGCAGAACAAGTAGAGACAGTGTGACCGACACAGAGACGCGCGCACACCTTGGAAGCAGAGAGACACAGAAACAGGCACAGACACAGATCAGCGCAGACAGACACACACACACACACGCACACGCACGCGCAGCCCACACACACACACACCCACGCACGCACGCACACACACACACCCACCCACCCACACACACACACACCCACCCACACACACACACACACACACACACACACGCACGCACGCACGCACGCACGCACGCACGCAGGCACTCACGCACGCAGGCACGCACGCACGCGCGTGCGCACAGACAGAAACAGAGACAGACAAACACAGACACACGCAGACAGACGCAGACAGACAGACAGACAGACAGACAGACAGACAGACAGACAGACAGACAGACAGACAGACAGACAGACAGACAGACAGACAGACAGACAGACAGACAGACAGACAGACAGACAGACGGACACAGGAAGGCAGGAAGGTGGGCAGGCAGATTCTTGGGCAGGCAGGTTCTTGGGCAGCCAGGCAGGCAGGCAGGCAGGCATGCAGGCAGGCAGGCAGGCAGGCAGGCAGGCAGGCAGGCGGCGGGTGGGCGGGCAGGCGGCAGGCAGGCAGGCAGGCAGGCAGGCAGGCAGGCAGGCAGGCAGGCAGGCAGGCAGGCAGGCAGGCAGGCAGGCAGGCAGGCAGGCAGGCAGGCAGGCAGGCAGGCAGGCAGGCAGGCAGGCAGGCAGGCAGGCAGGCAGGCAGGCAGGCAGGCAGGCAGGCAGGCAGGCAGGCAGGCAGGCAGGCAGGCAGGCAGGCAGGCAGGCAGGCAGGCAGGCAGGCAGGCAGGCAGGCAGGCAGGCAGCGCACGAAGTGACAGGCAGACAAACCGACAGACAGACAAGCAAACAAAGAAAGAATCAAACAAGCCAAGCCAAACAAACCAAACAAAGAAAGCAAGCAAGCAAGCAAACACACACGCACGCACCCACACACACACACACACACACACGCACCTTCACGTGTGTGTGCGCACACACACACACGCTTTCTCCTGCCCATGCCAGCCCGCACAGCTCCCACTTGCCAGTGTGATGAGTGATCCACGCCGTGGCAGCTGCAGCTTTTTGGTTTGCAATAGTTCCAGCGTTCTTGTACTTCTTCTGCAGGGCAAGAGGGGTCAGCTCCTTTTTGAGCGCAGGTGACTTAGCCAAAGAGTCTCGAGCAACGCGGAATGTTTTCTGATGCATTTCCTGGCGGGAAGTTGCGGTCTTGTTCTTGCTGGTGTTGAGCCGCATGAAGTCCGCGAGAGTCAGTCGCAGCTGTGGCCACTGAATTGTCCGAAGCACTGGCGCCGTGATGGTGTAAAGAAACTTCACCCACCTCAGATTTGCACAGCGTAGGGGCCAAGAGGGGTTCTGCTTACTTCTTGCCACTGGATTGAAAAAGTGAACCAAGCAATTACAAAATTAGGGACGAGCCATTGTTGCGTTCTGAAGTTTCCCAGGTAAAAAAAGTCTCTTCCTTTGGTCCAAACACGTGGTTATGTGCTTCATCACATTGTTAGCTTCATGGGACCTGTTCTGGCAGTGAAAGTGTTGGAGCTTCAAGTTCCAGGCTAACTTGAAAGATTCAACTTCAAGCAGGCTGGCCGCTTCTGCATGACACTGTTCTTGGAATGCCGGTTTGCCAGGTCAGACAAGTGGGCAAAAATGTCCTCCAGCATGAATTTTGTTTGAGCCGGCCGGGCCCAGAAAAGAAACCCCAGAAGCCGAAGCTCGTCATCATGAATACTCCAGCCACCAGCATCAGCGACACCAAACGTTTCTCGGGCAAGCTGCAACCGGTTCCAAGCTAGGTCGCCTAGGCACTTGGCCAATTTTGCCCGCACCTGAGGCCCAACATCAGGACTGCCAGGCAGCTCATACACGACGGCTTCTGCGTCCAGGACAGCAAGCCAAGTTGTTTTGAGTTGGTCTAACCCCTTGCTCCGCTCCAAGGAACTTTCATGATGAATTGTTGCCAGAATTTGAGGGACTAGAACAGAGAATTGGATCTGGCTCCAACTTCGGAAACTTGCAAGCTGTAGGGTGTACTGATGGAGTTTCTGCAGTGTCTTCTTCTCTTCTTGCAACCACTCATCTCCACTCAGCCCGGACAGGCTGTCATGACAATCTGGCAGAGTGATCGCAAGCCGTTGCAAAACATCCAAGTCATGGATTATCTGCAACGTGTTTTTTGAAGTCTCATACCACTTGCCAGATGCCCTCGCTGCTGCCCACCGGAGACTCGGCACCTGGGATGGCAAAGGCGCTGGTGTGGAGGGCGGGTGACAGTTGGAAGATTGCCACAGTCTAACAAACTAAAGCAAGCCACTTGGCCCTTCTTCTGTTCTTCCAAAGTGTCTTTGTATTCTTGGTGCACAAAGTGTGTCCCCAAATAGATAATTCGCATATCTATTTGCATGCCGCGCTGATGGTAGAAGTGGCAAACCGTGGCCCGGTTGTTTTTGAAGCGCTCCCGAATTCTTTTCATCTCTTCCTTGGTTTGTGGCTCCTCATCCTCATATGCTTTGTCGGGCTCTTCTTCTTGTTCTTCAGCAGCCCCTACACTGGCCGCAGCAGCCTCGCTTGCCTGGCAGGGCTTGGGGTGACAGGCGGGCTGAGTCTTGTTGGTTCAAAACACCCCCCCCCTCTAAGGGGCTACTACACTTTTGGAGGGTATGGGTCTGTTTATGAAAATAGGGGATAATGCTGTGTTGGTGAACACAGAGGGGTATTTTGGATATGTACATGTAGAAGAACAAGACCCGCCCTGTAAAACACTCCACAAGACAAGGGGCCTCTGCCCGATCAAGAACTGCTGAGGAGATCGTCCAGTCACGGTCTATGTCCCTCATTGCAACGAGAACCTGAAACCAGGACTTGTACTTGGCCTTAGATGGTGCCATGGGGCCACCCTTAATGACTGTGCTGTTTTTTGGTGGCGGTTTTGCTGACGAGCCAGGAGCAAAAGTAAAATGCGGAACAGGCTCATAGACCCCTCGCTTGGCGATTGTCGGCTCGTTGAGCAGGTCTGCTGCTGTTTGTGGGACTTGGTCATCAGTGACTTGGCAGCACCTATCAAAAGCAATCTCCTCCTGGAGTCTGAACCACTCATCCTGAGACATGTTGCGGACCCACTCCTCACATATTTCTTGTTTCAGTTGCATCGTTCGGCCAGATTGGTATGGTCCGTGATTTGTGTGGCTCATCAATGTTGCTTTTAGCAATGTCCCTTGCATTGAAGAATGCTTGATGCTGGATTTGGTATTATTCCAAGCAGGATGTGCGTACTCCGGCTCCAGCAAAATTCTGGAATGAAGGTTGTAGGCCAAAATGTTCATGGCTTTGCACTGAAGGGCTTCCTCATCCGGTGCCTGGGCAGAAGGCAAAACCACCCAAATTGCACAGCTGATGTTTCTACCATCCAAATTGGAAAGCATTTTCACCCTTGATTGGCGCTCAAGGCAAGTGTTTTTTGCCAAGTCTCACATGTGAGGTGGGGTCGGTCTTGAACACTGGGCGGGTCCAGAACAATTGGCTCCCCTGGGAGCAAGGGGGTCGCAGGAAGGAACTTCTCCAAACCCCACCCGAAGATGTAGAGAAGCGAGGCCTGCAATCCTCTGATGAGAGCCTGAGCTGCCCATCATTTTTTGTTGGGGATCTACACTTGTGGACTTGTTGTTTGGCTCCTTTGCCGAGGCACCACGGTGGCCAATTTTGTTGTCAAAGACAAAACAACACAACGGTCTAGGTGTGAAGCCAGGCACTGCTACGCCATGAACTGCCTTGAGTGTCTTCGGGATAGTGGCAAAGGCGGCCAAGTCATCATTTGCTGAAGACCTGTCAATCCATCAAAGGGGGGGTCAAGAATCAGGGGGCCAGTTCAAATTGCCAACTTGGCCATCTTGTTCAAACTAATTTCACGGGGTGACACGCAAGCCCCAGCTAGAGGCTCTATGCGAATCACCAAGGCACGGCTGCTGCAGGTCAGCAACACTGCCCATGAAGGACGGGAGCACCTCAGTGGGTTTGTTTCTGGCAATTCGTTTAACGCTTGAAAATGGGTGTGATTGATGCTCTGCATTGGGAGAGGACTTTTCCTCTGGCAGCGCTGTGAAGAACCTGGACACTGTGGCACAGTGCCTGCCCAGTCGCTTGGCAGAGAAATGGGTCCAGGTCAGGCTGGTGGCCAATTCCCCAACATGTTTTTACAGAAATGGGTGTGAACAGAATCTCTTTTCTCAGCAGCCACACTGACCCATGTGCTGGTGCACAAGTCTACAACAGAATGATGACCATGGCCATGCACGAGCCACATGTTGTGAAAACGGTCAAGTACAATCGTGCTGCAACTTCCAGCAGTCAACAGGGCTACTGTTTGTTTGCTTCTTCGTGAAAACAGGAACCACGACCGTGCTTCACATGGTCTCAAGTCAAAACTCCGGCCAGCAGGTCGGCCGCGTCAGGCTGGCATGGTTTTCTGAGTCTGGCAACAGCTTACTTGGTGTTTTTGGAGTCAGGGTACCGTTCCTGGAAAGCTCCCTTTTTCAACACACTAAGGTAAGGTTTGCAGGCTGATGCCCCCAGAACAAGAGGTTGCCAGTCCCTTTACAAGTCCATTCTCAAATTGAAAGGGTGGTCAGGCCCCATGGTCGGCTATTTGGAATCAACAATTTCCAAGCACTGGCAAAGAACCCCACCACAACACAACTACAGGTGTAAAAAGAATTATTTGTTGAGGAAAAAAACAAGGGTTGCAAAATGCTAAATGTGCATTTTGGGTGCTTAAAGAAGGTTAAAGTAGGTTAAAAGGAGGTTAAAAGAGGATAAAGTAGGCTAAAGTAGGCTAAAGTAGGCTAAGTGTTTTGCAGTAACGCCCCCCCTTTTTTCCAGGGAAAACACGCTTTTTCCAGGGGAAAACTGTGCTGCCAGACAGCCAGCTCCCGAGAAGAAAAGCACAGCTCAAGGTGGGATTTCCACTGGCACAAGCTTGGGCTTGGGCTGTGGGGAGGCTGCCTTTGCCTTGGCCTTCAGGGCCATCTCAGGCGCGGCGGTGGTTGATTCGGAGCTGGTGCCCTGATTTTCACGGTCTGGCTGCCCCTCAGCTTTCTTGTCACTCTTGGGTGTAGTAGGCTGAGGGGACTTGGGAGCTTGCAAGGCCTTCAATTGCGCACTGTCCACACTTGCGTTGGACAAGGAGGCTTTGAGCGACCTCTGACAAAGCTTCACCATCCACACAGAGGGCCCCTCATTTGTCTTGCTGGCTGCGAAAACCTCCCCAAAGTGCTTTCCATCCTGCGATGTTGAAACAGCAGGCAGCTACCCGTCCATCGTGAATCAATGAAACAAGTTCTTTGTTTGTCCTTCTCACAGCGGTGCAGCTTGTAGTTGCGGCCCTCAGCAGGAAGCTGCTGTGTGAGCTTGCCCTTCGGGTGGTCCCACTCAACAGAGTACTGGCCGGTGGTACTGTCCTGGATCAGCTTGAACTCCTTGATGTCCTCCTGCCAGGGCTCTTGACTGTACACGCAACATCGACGAATCAGGGTACCGTTTGCAACAACATGTTTGGGAGCCAGTCCTCGGACGAGGACTCAGCTTCACTTTCACTAGAGTCTGGCATCATGGGGGCGCTGGCCACCTTCTTCTTCTTTTCGGGGGATGCTGCCAGGGCAGGAGTTTCTGGATCCGGGCGCTTGATGTTCTGGGCCGGGTTTGAGGCAGGCAAAGGTACAGGGCGACTTGTGTGGTCCTGGCCATTCTTCTCAGACTTGGCTTGGTCACCTTTCAGGGTTTAGAATAACATCGATCCTTGCAGGGCTGAACTAGGGAAAAAGTCCAAGGATAACCCAAACCACTTGTTGTGATTTGTTTGCCACTGGGCCTCCACCAGACAATTGTGGGACTCGCCCAGCGTTCAATTCACTCAACCACCCTTTGCCACACGTTGCGCAGACTTGGCGGTCCAGGCCGCAGCCGCACACAGGGCGCTGCGCGCCTCCTTCAAGAACAGGGGCAACACCTTGGCAATTGGGCAACCCCCAGCTTGATTGAGAAGTTGCTTCAAGAAAGATTTGGGGAAAAAAGGGACTGTAAAGCAAACTTGTTGGCCGCGCCGTGTTGCCCTTCTCGTGAGGCTTCATCCCCGGCAATGGCACGCTGCTGGCGGGCGCTGAGGACTCTGGCTTCTTGGCATCACTGCCGGGCAACGGGAGCGGGACTTTCCGGGTGTTGGATGTGCTGTTGGCTGGGCCTGTCTGGCTACCACTTGGTGTGTCCAAGTATTTTTTCATGAGGTCGATGCAGAAGTGGGAGGCTTTGGTGCCTTCATCATAGATGAAAGGAGTCCCCTCATCAGTGAAGTGGATCTCCTCATGCCATTTTCCCTTGGGCAACCAAATCGAAACCTTTGTGTTGGACAGAATGCGTTCCTCCCCGTTCGGGCCCTTGGTGTCAGGCTTGTGCACAACGAAGCACTGGTGGCGCGAAAGCTCGCGGTCGACCTGGACTACCAGCTCTTCCAGAGTCATCTTGTCCAGCGGCTTGCCCAAACGTTCGTACTCGTCCAACAAGAGTTTTTGCTGCTTCTTGATGTTTCGACTTAGTGCCATGAAAGGGGAAAGGGTTTGACCAGTTGATTGCACAATCAAATGTGGAGGTATTGACTTGTCAAGTGTTCTGCAAAACGATTGAGGCTCAAACTCGTCGAGGGCCATGAAAGGCGACTTCGCGAACAGCCCATAAAACGCCTTCCTGACGAAGAACTCGGGCAGATTGGTCAAGTAGCTCTGGTTGCACCGGGTGCTGCCAACGCCGCACATGAACTTCTTGAGGTATCCAACCTGGGCGGTAGGCCGCTTCAACCAGTCCGGGGGTGAAACCGTTTTACAGTGTCAATGTAGCATAGGCAACGAAAGCTGAGAGCTTGACTGGCGTTTTCTTCCAAGTTGTGTATCTCGAAGGTATGAGGCCCGAGGTGTTCCCAAAACATTCGCGATTCTTCCTCTTGGACGACTTGGCCTTTCCCTTGTGGGATCGGCCCTTTTTGCTCTTCTTTCGGGATGCAGAAGAGGAGTAGGACTCAACGTCATCAGCAGGCCCCGGCCCAACCACTTGTCCGCCCTCCCACACAGTAAGCTCCCATTGGTGGGATGCGGACATGCCGACCACACAAGCCTAGGAGATCCGACTGATGAGAAGCCACACTTGAACTCAGATGGCGCCTGTCACAGCTTCTCACTACTGGCTGACAACTACCCATGCAGTACGACGCTGTCCACTGCAAATCACACAGCCAGAATGTGTTTTCCATGAAGTGGATGTCTGGACCAACAAGCAAACCCACAGCGGCCAAAGTTTGGCATGATGCTGCGTTGCATGAATTTCTTCGACCCACACTTGTGATTCAATGATTGAGTCAAAAACATAGCTGTTCCATGGCTGGAATTTCCCTAGGTTTTTTGGTACTTACAAGCGAGAACCCAGCAGACTGCAACCAATCACAACATGTGGGGATCGGGAAAATCTATGAGGCAGTGATCCTTCACAGGGCCAAAGCAGCACAACGCTAAAAGCTGCTGCACCCCTGTGTTCAGGAAGTGCATGCTATTCCCTGCCAGGTCAGCGGCCCTCTTGACATCCAAGGCTGGGATGAGTGGGACTTTCATGGCGTTGGCCACCTCCGACACAACTGGCCAACCAAGGCTGGCCAGCCGCTCCTTACTTGTCAGCCAGCGATGGTGCCTTGGGCTCCAGTAAAGACCTGACTTGGAGTTCTTTCTAAATGTAGGCAGCTTGCCGGACAGGGACCATGTCAAAGAATAGGAAGGGTTGTCACCCAGAAACACGAACATGTCCTCATCAGACTCAATCGGCTTCTGAAACCGAACGAAGTATTCCTGCGCATACTCCTTCACAACTTTTTCTTCTCGGTGTGTGAGCAAGTAGTCCAAGTGCGTGCAGTCAGAAAGCCATTCCTTGTTTCTTGCTCGAGCTCGCTCTTGAGCCTCAAGCAAAACCTCAGTCATGCTAGCAACCAAGTAGTCACTGGGCCGCGTTTGCACCTTGTTGCGGATGCGTCGGTGGACCCTGTGCTGTAGATCATGCGGGTCCTCCAGAGTGAAAGTCCTATCCCTGTGAGCTCCAATCACATAGGTCCGGCTCCTTGCACAACCACTGTGACCAACATCAGCAGGCTCACAGAAGGTTTGGTAGAGGTCATGCTCTGGGTGACAGTCTTGCATCATGCCCATGTCAAGCTCCTCAGCAGCATAGCCCCGAGAAGTTGTTTCTTAGGGAGCTCAACTCTGAAAACAAAAAGAACTACGCAGTTTCAGGGCCAAAGCAAAGCCGTGCCAAATCCTAAGCCAGCAATCTGGAGTGCACTCCACCACGAAAAGCGGCACCCTGTGTTTTTGCACATACTTGCCATGAGTCATGTACACCACATTGGTGCGGCCATCTCGTTTCTGTCGGAGCCCGGCCCGGCTCATATCTTCGCACGGCAGGCCAGACACTCCAAAATCGGCGCTGGGCACCCTGCAAACCGAGTCAAAGCAGGCTGCGCATGGGGCAAACTCCATCAGTTTGCAGCTATTGATTGCTTTCCTTTTGCCTTTGTATGACGAGTGCTCACCCAAGCAGTCTGGAGGGTTCAAGTCCATGATGTTCCCAAACAAATGTGGCTCCTCTTGTTGCAGGGAGCCACGGACAGTGTTGATCCACTCCAGGTTGTCGAAAATGAGCGGGTGGCACTTCTCATTGATCTCCTTAGGCGGGGTAGGGGTAGCAAATAGGGCTGAGAGGGACCTTTGTCTTTGATCACACTTCGAAAGAGTGATGTTGGGGGGGGGTTTGAGCGGGGGGTCCCAAAGAGGCTTGTTTCTAAATTGCTTCTTCACAATCCCAAACATGAAGAAAGCAAACGATGTGGAGTCGGGGAGATCAAGCATTGCAACTGGGTGACCTCCTGAGTGACGTTGAGCCGGCCTACATGAAAACAAACAAAAGATGTTCACCCTCAAAACCCCCTAACATTTATAGAATGATGTTGAGTCGGGGCAACCCAGTGAAAGATGTTGCGCGGACCCTTTTGGAAAATAGAGGGGCTCAACTTCCCAACCTCAACTTCAAGTGTTTCCCTCGCCATCCCCAACAGGAAAACCACTTCCCACTAAGCGCCTCACCCACAAAGCCACGGTGGATATATCCATGTCAAGGCCGCTGGCGCGAACACAGTTCTGTAAAACTGCTCGAGACATTTCTGCAGTCAGCGCCCCTGTGCACATACTGTAAGATGTTCGGGCCTGTGTCAGAAACGACTCCTGAGGTGCATCAACTTTGAGCCTGAAATCAAGCTGGTTACGAAAAGCCCGTGTCCTGCAGAGGCACCATCCCGACCGACTTCAGCGCGGTGTCCCAGGCGATGTCCAAAGATCTTGATGCTTGGCTCAAGCGTGAAAGCTGTGCCTGTGAGTCCTGGCGTGGCACATTGGCAAAAAGGAAACCCGAAAGAAGAAGAGAACAATGGAACTGACAACGGCAATCCTCGGAGTGCGCAGATGGCTGCGAGAATGCCAAGGCAGTGGACGACTTGCTGCCAGTAGATGACTTGCACATGTCAACGTCATCGGTGGCAGAAGCACCGCCAAAATCCCATAAGTCCATGGCAGCGGAGCGGGACTCACCAGTCAACAAACCATTGTCAGCTATCCGTTTGGGTGGGGACTCACCAAACAAACCATTGTCAGCTATCCGTTTGGGTGGGGAGTCACCAAACAAACCATTGTCAGCTATCCGTTTAGGTGGGAGCTCACTAGTGAACAAACTGTGTCAGCCAACAGTTTGGGTGGAACCTGTTGCAAGCTACTCGAGTGGAACCCTGTTTTAGCTGACTCTATGGCCTCGTGCTAGCACAATAGTGACCAGTGATTAGCAGCTTCCCTATGAGCCTTGAGTCAAGACAGGGCGTACATTTTCAAGATTTCCACCAAAGCGCAAGGCACTGCAATCACTGGCTGCACTGCTCTGAGGACATGCCAGCATGTGTGACTGGCTGAGGAAGGCGCCAGCGGCGGCGAGTGAGTCCCGCAGTTCACCATGGGGCCTGGGACAATTCTCGGGCCAATGGTTGTGGAACTCGGCACGTTCTTGGGCCAGGACAAGTGAAATGATACAGCTCGGTTGGCCGCTTTGCAATCGAAGAGCCATCGAACATGGCCTTGGTTGGGCGCCAACTAAATTCAGGGCAGAACTAGCATGTATGAGGCCAGAGCGTGGACATGGTGGTGTGGGCCCAAGTGCTCCTGCGCGAGGTCCAAGTGTCGCTCCTCACTGTCGTGATTTGGTTTCTAGCAAACACTCTGTTATCGCTTCCTGCAAAAAAGGCTCCATATACTGATACGCGCTATGAATACCAGCTTCTCCAGGGTTCTGTCTTTGAGGAAGCACGGCTTGGACTGCTTGTGTCAAGAAGTGCGCCTGCGCAGTGATGTCGCAGGGATTGTCGGGAGTTGGGTGGGCCGGCCTGCGCAGAAAACAGCTTTGAAATGATCTGGAAAAGGTTCATGTGTGTCGGCACAGCTTTGTCACGGCGACGGGATTGGTCGCCCTTCCTGTCTTTGTTCGTCCCGTGGCAGAGTTCCAGCAAGTTGTTGTCCTTGGTTTGGCCGCCCACTTGTCTTCGTGTGGCTTTGTGCGTCTACAGTCTAAATTGCTGTCAGGATTCGATGAACCTAGCAATTTGGCTAATGAAGCGGATAACCATGTCTTTCAGTGGCTTGAGCTGAGAATTCTTGGAGTTCACGATGTCCCTGAGCTTGTCAGACTTCTAAAGCATCAACATTTGCAGCTTCAATGTAGAACCAATGACCACTTAAAGGCCGAGGGGCGGGTCTAGCAAGAAAGTGATGAGCTGCCCCAAATTAGGACTTGTTGCCAAAGAGCAGATGTGCGGTTTTCGCACATCCTTGGCCACCAGCTGGGTTAAGTTTAATGGCACCCTGTCACAGTCTAACAAGTTTGCACTTTCGGTTCAAGTCACATTGGCAGCCCATGTCCAATCCTCTGTGAATTTTGCCATCAAATGGCCGGGTCCCACAATGTAAGAAAGGGCTACACACCCGTTTGCAGGGATATCCACATTGAAGGATGTATGTAGACCAACTGGAGAGGTTGTCAATGTAAGCTTTCCAGTTTGCGCGCACCGGTCCACCAAGCGTGCGAATATCTCGGCTGCGGCAGCTCGAAATGATCGATTGCGCTTCGGGGCCCCAAGGCCAAAACAAAGCACTGAAATCATGAGACTTGTCGGCAATGTAGATTCTTGAAAGAACTGGTTCCCCTCCTCAGAGCCACGAAGCTGTAATGGTGTCAGAACTTCAGGGGGGACGAAACCTGGCCATATAAGAGCATGCCACTCCTTCCAGCTGTTGAAGCAGGTTGCCTTCTGCTTTCCTTAGTTTGGATTCGGCTGTGCTTCAAACCTGGTTGGTGGAAAAACGCATTTGAAACGCAGTTGAATACTAGCCAGGAAACGAGCAGTTTGCAAAGCCTTCTTATGATCAAGTTCTCCCCCGCTAGCGTCAGTGGCAGCAACGATGGAGTTCAAAGACCACTCAGATTGCCGCTGTCCATCATTGGAAGCACATGGATAAACGGCCAGCTTCTTCTGCCCCAATGGCACAAAATCTCAGTCCAGCAAATCAGCAATATGAGGGATTCAGTGCGCTCACGCACACAGACACGCGCCACTTTCAGCAAAGGCACGCATGTGCAGGTAAGGCCCCTCATGTTCAGTTGATACAGGCAAAGCTGGCTCCATATTAGAGCATCCCGCTTGGCCAATCAAACGGCTGCATATGGTGGCCAAGATGGTGCACGTGATTTGCAGTAACCCCCCTTGCCCCCCCTCACAACGAACACATGATGTTGTGGTTGTGGCTGTGGCTGTGGCTGTGGTTGTGGTTGTGGTTGTGGTTGTGGTTGTGGTTGTCGTGTCGTTGTCGTGGTCGTTGGTCGTTGGTCTTTGGTTGTTTGGTTGTTGGTTGTTGGTTGTTGGTTGTGTGTTTGTTGTTTGTTGTTTGGTGTTTGTCGTTTGCTGCTTGCTGCTTGCTGCTTGCTGCTTGCTGCTTGCTGCTTGCTACTTGCTGCTTGCTGCTTGC